ACCAGAAGAAGAAGAAGGAGGTGAAAAAAAAGGCGTGGAAGAAAACAGCGGCGAGACACAGAGCGCAAGGAAGGCCGAGAGAGCGAGGGCCGGCAAGAAGCGGCGATCGAGAGCACAAGAGCGTAACACATTACATGACTGGCAGTTTCCAATGCATGTAATTGGAAATGCCTCCCGCTTTGTGGAGAGCGAAGGTGCCTCCCGAGGCGCGGCGCGGCGCGGCGCGCGGTCGCTCCCGAGCAGCGTTGCGTTGCAGGGCGAGGGCCGAGCCCCGGGCGCCAGCGCTTCGGGTTTTTGTGGGGAAGACGAGGAGGACGAGGAAGCCACGTCCTATTCCGCAAATGCGATTTTTCAAATGACACCTGACACACGCGTCCTAAACAGTGGCGTAGTTAGGGGGCCAGGTCCGCCCGGGTGACACTAATGAGACAATGTTATTTTAAAATTATTTGTACAAATATAATTTTAAAATCATAAATACTAAGAAATTTAATATATTGTAAATAAATGACATGTGCAAATATACTTGCATTTATATTAAATATTGTATAAATTATTCATTACTGAATATTTTTAGATTTAATTTATGAGCAGAGGGTGATACCATTAGTTTGGCCCCGAGTGACATCAACTGATGATACGCCACTGGCCTAAGCCAACTGTTTTCTAATTTCCAGTGCTTCGAACCCCATTTACTCCACCTCAAAATTCTAGCGGGCTTATTAAAGGTATTTACTACAGTTACCGGCAAACTATATATTACATGTTTTCACACACCAATAAATGCTTTGTTTTTATATAACTTTCTGTTATGAATTTCACATATTTATTTGGGGTAAATTTTGATGATGCTTTTCTAACGTGCCATACATTCTTATGAGCTTTACACGAAACATATCAGATTATAGAACATAATTAAACGTATCTTCGATAATAATTGTAAACATATAGAAACAGAACAGAGAAGCCTGTATTTAAATGGTAAACACCGAGGTTTTAAGGGATTAAAAGTGAAAAGAAAAACCCTATTTGCGAATTACCGGGTGTCTCGCATCCAGTTTTAAAAACTCCTGAGCTAATCTATTAATTTTATTATCGAGGAGCACTCATCAATGAATGCCAAATAAATTGGATAAACTATTGTGATACTTGGGTGATTTTTAACAAAAAAGTAAATTCTTAATGGAATGTGAAAGGTATGAAAAGGTATAAAAGGCATGAAAGCCTTCCAGAATTTAGGAATCTACTTCCAGGATCCAGCATAGAGGATAATAACTACTAGAATGCGTATCTAGTACAGAATCATTCGGGAGATTTAAAACCATTTTCAATCTTTGTATTTTCAGTTACACTGTTTTCAATTGATTCTTTCATTTCCGAAATACATACCGAATTGGACGTGTCAAATACTTCCATACAATTCACCGGCTGCTGGGAAAAACTACCACAAACGAATAGTTCTATCCAACTACTATTGAATCTTACAGCTTCTTTTAAGTTCAACTTGAATGAATTGATTTATTTAAAACGTACAAATTAGAAAACGAAACAACTTCAAAACGAGTTTCTCTAATCAATTTGACGAGTGATTCATTCCCTTCAGGGATTTCCAGTATCTGCTTCTTCAGCAATTTTTTTAATTTCTTTAAAAACAAATATTTGAATGAAAAAAGATATGACATCGGATATTCATTACGAGTAATAATGGGAAATTCAGTAAAGAAGCAAACATGATCAAAACGTGCATTTATAGTAACATGGTCATAGTATATTCATACATTTATGATCATATTAAATGAGTTTTGATCGTTAGGCCAATTTTTTGCCGCGTGTCTTGATCTACAATGACTGAATTTTCAGGCTATGTGAAGGCATCACCATGAGACTTCGCTTTTGCCTTGCAGCGTAATCTTGAGGCACGCCGTTCGGGGAACCACGGATCTTTGGGGAAGCACGGTCATTGCTACCTGATACCTAATCGACGTATCGACCCGCAGTGCCGCTGCGCAAAGCATTTAAAAAATTGTCAAGTCATGCGCTTCCAAGGGTACGACTCAAGGCTGCGAATTAATTAGCGGCGTCGGAGACAGCGAGCGGATCGCCCTCCGCATGTGAGCACTGCGTACTTGACAAAGCTCTGAGACCAACGGTTCTCTTCAAGAAGAAGAAGCGAAGTATTGAAACATGTTTCTCTACCTCATCTCGCCACTCTCATGCAATTACAAAAGACATGTTTCAATGAACGGTCTTGTCACAAGGGAACCTCGTTTGGCTTCACGTATTAACGAATTTTTGAGAAATAGAAAGTTTATAAAATGGAATACGGACATATTGGCTTTGTGAATAGGGAAGGATAATTCAAGGGCTTCATGAGGCATAAAAGATAATTTTTCAAAAATTTAATCAAAACCAAAACACACTCCAACTTTTGACGTCTCTGAGGGTGAAAGCAATATTTTTCGTTATATTATGGACTTTTTCTTTTAAACTCTTCAGTACTGCATGCAAAACTAGTATTTACTGCCTTAACCTTTTGTATGATCTCGTATTTACTCATGCTATAAATGGAAATAAATTTTCCTGGCCCTTCCCAAACATCAAAATTCGGCATCAGTCTAAAAACCTAGCATATTAATATCAAATGTTGTATGAATAATTTAATATGCATTTTACCAAGCTAGACAGAATTAAATATTAAATGGCACCAAAAAACACAAAACATTAATGCAGCCCATGGATCATTTTACATGCGAAAAACAAACACGTGGTAAATTCATAACTTAGCAGCAACGGTCAGAAGAACGCTCGGTGAAAGGAATACATAAAATGTGACTATTTCTGAAAATATAAATTATCTTCTCATGTGGATGGTTAATTTGAATATATTTTAATACAAGTAGTAAAATATTTTGAAAGTAAATAAAATTAATAGGTTACCTACATTCATGGCTTATTCCTCATTTAGGGCACACTGGAGAAACTACATCAAATTAAGTGTATTTTATCTAACATATCGCTCAGAAACGTTCACATAGTCTACATTTCTTTATTTACATTAAAACTGTCTTAATATTTTTTCACTTTTTTGCACAGGTGGACAATATTACAATTTAATATTACAATAACGTCAAATTTTGTTGAAGGTAAATTAATTACATTTATTATTTATGCACACGAATTTAAAAGATTATTGTTCACCTTTTTAGGGGGTTATACAAAATATGTATACGATACAAAGATATTGGAGTACACAGATGAAAGAAAAGGTTAATGAAAATTTTAGCTATCAATACACAACGCATATTTTAAAGAGAAATAAACACAGTAAGTCATACTTTGGTCACTACGAAGGAGAAAAAGAATATAAAACACATTAGTGTAAAGTGTAGTTTCTTCTCTTGAGGGAGGTGTCACTGACCTGACGTGAGAATTTCTTCTCTCTGAAAGGTAATCTACTGTCGACATAACATCTGCCCTGGGGATAAAATATTTTGAATAAAATTACTGACAACCCACAAATGCCGCGTCGCATGAAGAAATATAAAACCAGTAGCACAAGGAAAATCGATAAGTTAGTTTCTTATCATACAATCGAAGGATCCATTTATGCACATATTTCCAGGACACATTTTAGCTAAAAATGGAATGATTTCATTTTACGAAAATAATTTTTACTTTTACTGTAAGCTTTAAGTTTTTCATTTCTGTAGTCTTCAGTTCATACAAACCTGTGTGTTCTTCCGTTTGTTTTGAAACAAATGATAAAATTAAAGCTTGATAGTAATTAAAAATCTACAAAGCCAAACACGCGACAGAAAGCCAAGAAAGCGTAAGGGAAAAAGCAAAGCAAATTTATAACGCAAAATAGCTTCACCCACATCGCCTGCATTTTGCAGAAGCTCAAAGATATTTAGAAGAAAAAAATTATAATAAAAGATGCGATGCCGTATTATGATCAAACCAAAATATCGGCATTAACGACTGACACAAGATTATTCGTTAAAAATGATCCAACCCGAGACTCGACAACAAAATGTTTCTTAATTCATAGAGTCTGAGACATGGCTTCGTTACGTAAGTTTACTGCGCTGTTAACGTTTACTACACAACAAAACAGTAAATTGCAACCTTTGATGTAGCTACAGTTTAGCACATACCGAAATAGTCTAGCTGAGCTTTAGAAATATATTCAAGGGACAAATTAGAAAAGGAATTTAATTTATCTTGAGAACTGAATGGGTGACCGAATATCATAACTATCCAGACAACACTAGACTAGGCAGCCGATTCTTAGCGTTCGAGCTTCTTATTCTGATGGTAATATCTAATTCATCGGCAGTTTCTCATTTAAAGAGCAATAAAAAGTATTTGTATAAACTACTAACTTGGGTCGAAACGTTGGCAACGTTACCTAGGAAGATCGCCAACGAGCCCACGCATACTGTTCCTAGCAAGGCATCAAACCGTCTCAAACAACGTTCCGACTTCAGTTTATGTAAATATTTCGGTTTAGATTTCTGTTTCTGATAACAAGACCTTTCGGTTCCAGTTTCGATTTCAAAACACTTCTGGGTAACTTTTATTAAATAACTTCGAAATAATTAGCAATGGTTTAGAACTTCGATATGTTGATGTGTTTGGCGATTTCCTTCTTGTCCTGCGCAAAAGAAGTTGTAATTTCAAAAAAATAAAGAAAAGATAGCTTACTCTCTGCCCACTGAATTTTTTTTGTTTAAACAGAAAGTCACATCTCAAAACGAGAAGCCAGCGGAAAAAAAATACACGAAATAATGAAGCTCTTTTTAAAACCGAAAGAGTTTCATTCGGTTTCAGCGATATAAGAAGAGTCATTTTAGGTGGTAAAAACACACAGTTTTAGCGTCCTCATAACATTAGTAAAGAATAATTCCGTTACTGTTTCAGTCTCAGAAGCATAGAATCTCGTAGAAAGTGTTTTTTGTAGTTTCTCATTTACATCGCCGTCTGTATATCTCCGGAACTTAATGCACATTTCTAAGACCAAAAGCACTGTTGTAGAGTGAGGAAGTCACTAATGACACTCTGCGACGGATCTGAGAAACTACAAAATAAAATAGAGGCTGCAACGAAATTGAGAAACTATAAAATAAAAAACAACTCATTTGTGAACAGCGAGCGCACTCGAATTCTGACGGCCGGATGACGATGTACAATCGACACGATCGCAGCGCCGTGTGCGACAAAGAGTTGAGGTAAGTTGCACACTAATTACGTGACATCACAAATCTGCATGTTGTTTTTCCATTTACATTCGAATAAAGTCGATTTTTCTTCGGCAAAACACAACATTCTGGACGTTATAGCAGAAGAGAAATAATCTGCACTGTGCAGAAACGAAGCGATTTTCGGATAAAGTGAAATTTTCGAAGAATTTATTCATCTAAATGAGGAGAATTCGGTGGTGTGGTTTTTACCGCCAGAACGCCTCTTCCAACGTCTTTCGGTTTGACGCCTTGGTGGCCGTGCGACCCGTGGACTCACCTTCGGCAACGCGGCCAGGCACTGCTGCTTCACGTCCCACACGAGCTGGTCGCGCGGAAACTGCAGGCACTTCTGCACGTTGAGCTCGGGCACGTGCACGCGCACCAGCACGTAGCCCTCCTCGGGGGCTCCGCTCCCGGAGCCCACGCTGCCCCCGCCCACGCCCACGCCGTCCTCCTCCATCGCGCAGACGTCGGCGCAGCCGCCGCCTCCGCCACCGCCGATCGCCGCCGCAGCCGCCTCTGCCGCCTCCGCCTCACATCTGCAACACACGAACAGACAGGGGCCACGTTACGACACTTTCACACTACAAACCATCGCAGTCTGAGAAGAATGTTTGAAGTGGCAACAACTCCGTAGCGGCAAAACGATAAGCGCAACGATCGTTTATTGATTAACCTATGCGACGGACAAGAAACATGTTCACATTTTGAATTTTCATAGCAAGACTTACACAATGGTAAAACTGCAAATTAAGTCCCGTAGGAGCGTAGAAATTAAATAGTAAACACTCACAAGTTAGTTTCAGCGTCGGCTGCTGGGACAACCTCGGGTATAATTTTTAATATTTTTCGATTTACCTCCATTAACAATGGACATCAACTCATCTCACTGCAGACAAGGGTTCGAGTCCCGACTGCGGCAGGATTTTCGACTCTAGCAACATAGGAGCGTCAAATTCAGCCGCTGTCTGGACGAGAATTGTAGCGTCCGGCTGCTCTGATTTTCCGTGGTTTCTCCGAGGGTGAATGCCGAAGCAATACCCTAACAAACGGGCCACGGACTGCATGCGATCTTTCCTTCTTCTACTGTGTGCTATCCTCGCCCCTTACACGCACTACTACCACAAACGTCGGGAGCTTAAGAGCGTGTGCCGACTGGAGTGGTGCCCCGCTAATGGGACATTCCTGGTTGGAGAAAACAGATAGCCAACGTGAAGGTCGTCGCCGGATCTCAGCATCCAATGGGGAAAGGCCAGCGCCACCTCCCGTGATAAAAACATGCACTTAACTTAAGGGATTAATTACCTTAACCGTTGACCAGCCCGGAAAATAATCAATCGATTATCAGTAATACCGGAAGCATTACGTGAGCGCTGAAAGGAATATAGTAAGAGGAATACAGCAAATAATTCCTTACCCTATACAAAATGTAACAGCAAATTTCCTACCCTTTCTTATGTTTCACTTTGAACGTGCATGTAAATACACGTGTGTACAAGAATAATGTAAAAGTCTGAAATTGAACTAAAATGTGAAAAATAATCATTTCAAAATTATCTCACGAACATTTTCTTGCGAGTTAGTGATATCTGTCATTATAGAGTTCTGGCGTTGATACACGATTGCTCTGGCTTCCTTAGCAAAACAAAAGAGCCGAGCAACAGCCCGATCTCTTGTGGCTCTTAGGCGTTCAGAAATGAAGGAAAAGGGCGACTGCCAGATCTCAATGGCCAAGTGTACATATCATCCGAACTCAACTGGAAATGAAAAGTGCAAAGAGGGAGCTGTTAAATGGCGCGTTAACGCTTTGCGCTACCCCAAAACACCGCCCGAGGTAGCTACGTTGAGGCTTAAAAATACTTTCTCCTTCTCTCGCTAATGATACGGAGACTATTATTCACGAGCATGCCAGTGTTCCTTTTTGCAAAAGAGTGGAGAAAATTCCTTTAGAGTAAACATAGCTGTAGAAGGTAATATCTCAACTACAGTGAATAGCTAATAAATTGTGGAAACACAATTTTACAAACCAGCAAAATGCCTTCCTGTGATAATTTTAAATGATATTCCATCGTGAAAAAATAGATAATTCATCATATCTAAAGTTAATCGATCTCAAAGCATTGTTATAGAGTAAATAATCGCACGACCCAACATATCTTGGTTTGAGCTTTATAACCTTTATGTTATGTTCGTAAATATGATACATGCTGCCATTACTCAGCAACCAAAAGGAACTTATCTGATGTGATAACCAACAAATGAGATTAATGAGGAGAATACGGTAGTAGTAGTAGTAGTGTAGCACTCTTCTTTTTAACGAAAGGTTGACGCATCTAATACTCATATGTTACTTGGATTTCAAACGATAAGGAAATGATATGGATTCTGATAAAAAAAACTTCACAGTCACAATATATAGAGTGTTCCCTTCTTATGTAGTATAATTAATACACAGCCCAAAGACGACATTTTTAGCGAAAGAGAAGATGATGCAGTGAGTAGATCGATATTCTAAAGAATTCATAACCAATATATGAGTTAAATGACGCCATAGATCGAAAATAAATTGAAGTCTAAATGAGAAATTGTACATTTGAATAAACAAATCATGTAAATACCTACCTCATATTATACTCTTTCAATAGATAATAATAAAATTCTGGAGCTACCGAAAGTTTTATCCATCACCCTCTGCGCTATACTCCAAATCGGGCCAGTCTCCTCCAATGTATAGAGAGATTTCTATACGAAGGGACCGCTGACGGTTATGCCCATGCACTCATTTTGCCAGTGCGTTCGTTAAGCTCATCTGTAATTGAATTTATCATTATCTCTTGCAAATGTCATCGTCCTGCATGACCTTCATTTGTTTCCCGATCTGTCAAAATGGTCATTTCTTAGAGTAACTCCTCAGACCGAAGTCTTTCCACGTCATCGGGGGTGACCCACGTGAAAGGGCGATTAGCCATCGTCGTAAGGACGAAAATGAGAGACAGGTTGGGGAAGGAAGGATCACGGGCGCGCCGGGGTCAATGCACTACTCTGGCACCAGACTGGAATTGGACCACGAAACCGATCGACCAGTTTCTGAGTTCCGTCCTCGTCGGAGCTAGAACCCAGGCCACCGTCTACGAGGTCTCCCCTTCGGATTCGCAACGCACTTCATTTGCTGACGCATAGGTCGGTCTTCTGTTCGTCCGTGGGGAAGGGGGGTGATTATCATAATGAAGTCCAAAAAGCGACCTTTGACGCTCCGCCAACGCAACCTCGCACAGCCGAGCAAAACGCGAATGAACGTATGCATGGGAGCTCGCGCTGTGGAGTGCGGAGGCGACAAAGGGAATCGCGTATCCCGCGGTTGCATCCGCGTCACGCCCCCGCCCACCGCCCGCCCATCGCCCGCGCCCGCGCATTCGCTCCCGTGACCTCCGACCTTTGGCCGCCCACGCGCTTGCACTCTGCTCGCCCGCCGCACTCGAGCGCGCCGGGGCGGAATGGCAACACGCCATCACGCTGGACGCGACGTCACGCAGTCTTAGGGAGAGGTAGGTGGCCTCTTGCACTGCAAATCATTTTCAGGAGGTGTTTAGTGGGTGGGGTGCGGTTTTCCGACAGTGGACCAAACCCTTCAGTGTACGCACCGTTAGCACTCACACAAAAGTCATTAAATTCAATTGAACTCGTTTAACAATATATATATATATATATATATATATATATATATATATATATATGTGTGTGTGTGTGTGTGTGTATGTATGTATGTATGTATGTATGTATGTATGTATGTATGTATGTATGTATGTATGTATGTATAATTCTCTAAACAAATTTGGAAAATATGTGAAAATGGTTTCGTACTTGTTTCATAAGGGAACAAAGGTATATCACAATACTGAAATTATACTCCTAATATTCAGAAATATATTAATAAATTAATGATGGTGGATCCAAAAAAGACTCCCCCCCACGTTACATTTTAATGGCACCTGCTCAATTGAAATTGATTTATTCTAATGAATAATTATGTAGAACGGTTCATTTAAATCGAAACTCCATTGTATCTCGAGAAATTCACATAAAATTAACTTAAAAATCTATTTTGGAGGCGGAAATACAACTGTGCAAAGAAAACCCACCAACTCCCCACCACGCCGCATTTGTAAGCCACTACGAGTATAAAGTGCGACGTATTTATTGCAGATTTGAATTTTAAATCAATATATGACTTGTCCGAAATATTTTTTAATTTTTTAATATAATTTAAATGCACCGACCACTCATATAATACGCTACCGCAATGTAAATTGATTAGTAGTCCATTTTTCATAAATTCAATGCAGGTTGATGGACAAAAATGTTTTAAAACACCAAAAAGATTATGTAGGTCCGGATGTTGTACATTAAATGGGGAGCATTATTAATTACAGCATGCGTTTTTTCAATGAACAAGTTAGATATAGTATGGGTAAGAGATGAGAAAAATAAAAATTATTCGTTCTGCTCAATTGCAATTCATTTATTTTTCGAATCACAGAAGCGACAATTACGTGTCAAAGCTTTTAGAGATCAAGAGATGCTTCAAAGTAGAGGCAGAGATAACCAAAAAGGTAAAAGCGGACATTAATTTGTTTTGCTGACACTGACATCGATAGGGTAAATACACAGTTGGATTGCATACGTACCGAGGCACAACTTGTTTGTTTTTATATCCCCGATATGAGTTCGAATGATGAATGGGAATTTTAATTTCCTTCTAAAACTCGTAGTTTACCAGGCAGTTTATTACAGTTCCAACATAATTCGTACAAGGGGCCAGGAAATAGTAGAGAGTATGTATTAAAATGTACTTGAAATCTCACATCAATAGTAATAAATCATAGTAAAAATAGTGGGTATTTTGACTAATTACATTACCCAATTTGTCCATTGAGAGATAGTGGGTATACATTAAACCTGATATTTGTATGGAAATAATCATATTTTCCGGAAACAAATGTAGATGGGAAGTTTCTTTGCGAAAAACACACGAACTGTATTTTTCTACTGATAAGCAAATTCATTTCAAAGCACATTTTGTTTTGTAATTTAGTCTCCTACGTGACAGTCGCGACATTAAAAAAATATAGAAATATCAATTGAACAGAAACCATCCATTGTTTTGTCGTGAACACGTAAATACTATATAAAACGTACAAAAACAAACATTACGAACAAAAATCAGAAATAATACGAAGGAAACTGATGCATTTTAATAATGATCCTATATTGAACGTTATATCCTCTTGAAAACCTCTTGTTTGATAATATAAAGAAGACACCAACTACCTCGATCAGGCATTCACGTTCGCGGCAAGGCAATCCGCTCACTAGAGTAGACTGGTACTGCGTCCACAGCCACTGAAGTGTGGTTTAAAAGATAGAAAACGCTCTGGTGTGGCGCTACTTCACTGGATACCGGTCCCATGGTAGTTTCTAGAAGAAGTTTACCCGAATGTAACTAAATGAATTTCAATTTCTTTCATTTCAGCAAATAAAT